GCGTGCGGGCGGGCGGGCGGGCACGGGCGTGCGTGCGCGCGTGCGCGTGTGCGTGTGCGTGTGTGTGTGTGTGTGTGTGTGTGTGTGTGTGTGAGAGAGAGAGAGAGAGAGAGAGAGCTCAGGTTCGTTCCGACCTAGCTGCTTCCGACAGAGCACTCAACGGCCGTTAGCGCCACACCGTCACCATTGTCGGCCTGAGAGGGATCAGCCAGTCAAAACGTGCTCAAAAATTAGGTCAGTGTTTTTGCCATTGTCAGAAATTCGATTTGGTGCACAATACCACGAATCGTAAAGGGATGTTTTTCGGCTATCGTGACATGACTGGCGTTTCTATGCATTTTACTCCCTCTTTCCCATTGGGACTCTCCCAGTCGAAATGGTACATGAGATTTACTAGCATAATCTCCATTGTAGCGAGCGCCAAATTTGCCTGGGGCCCATCCTTTGTCCGGATCCAAATGGCAAGTACTTAAAATATTGACCTTGTGGTAGGAAAACCTCTCCGGCATGAAATCATGTCTTCTCTCCCAATGGCCCAACCATTTACAAAATAGATAACCTGACTTTATACTAACTTTAGGGATACATGTTTTGACGAATATGTCATATCCGTCAACCGTGGACTAGTGTAGGAGGAGTAAAGGTCCTGGTGGGTGCAAGCGCAGGTCCTCTTACATGGTTGCCTGCAGGCTGCTGAGGTCCCTCCTCGGTAATCATTCGCCGCAGTTGAAATTGTGCACGCAATCTCAAATTGAAGACCTCGGTTAAATGAGAGGGTTCCAGAATTAGGGAGCTTGGTGAAATTAGAGACTCTTGCTCTGTTTTACCCTGCACAGCAAGGGTGCACATACACACAACGGGAATGGATTCGCAATGTAGCAAACATTTCGCTATAGCATTGTGACCAACTTCCAGCTTCAATTCATCATCCAGTGTAGAGACAGGATGTGAGTCTCACCGAACTGAAAACAATTACTTAGTAGCCAGTAATCCCTAAGCTATTCTGCTTCTGCAGTCTAAACATTACACTAGCATAATTACCGGGTTCAATTCATCATCCACGGCAGCTTCACTTGCATAGGGACAGGATGTGAGTTTCAAAAGACTCAAAATAACTAGTAGCCAGTAACATACAGGTTCTGCTCTGCTCTAGCATACAGATTATGCTCTAAACTAAGCTGCTTCTACCGTTCCAAAGGTTTGTGTCTCGGAACACAGACACACAAAGATTATGTCAGAACTTGAATTTGCAATTGGCAGGCAAGGTTTTTTTTCCAATGACTCGTCCATGAAGGCCAGCAGCAGGCAAGCACCTACACAAACAAAAAAAAGCATCAAGGTTCGGTTAGACACAACTTTGAAGAGCATGCTTCGCTAGCGATCAGTGGTTAAATTGCCAGCTAAAGATTGATCAAAATAGTGTGTGTTTTTCCAATGCAAACAGAATGAGATAAGAGAAATAACAAATGATTTCTTCATGAAGTTGTTTACCGCACAGAACAATCTCCTCTACAACCTTAGAATTTGAGTTCAAACATGTTGAATCTAAACTATGTTAAAAAGGAAGATGTTTACCTCTCTCAGGCCAAGCTCAAGAATCATAAGAGACTGGCATGGCTTCTTTACCCATGATAGGGTAAGTGCCTACAACAAATAAAAACATCACAATTAGAGTAGATGTATCTTTGGCTCCTGTGAAATATGACTTATAATAGAGACATGTTTACCTTTCACAATGTCTTCTCCAAGATCCGATACAATTACAGTCAAGTTTCTAGTTCTCCGGCGATGTTTGATGGCATCAAATATTTTCACCTATAAAGTAATCCATAGAATTAACATACCGAAACATCTTTTTCGTAGTGCTATGGTCGGCATGAATTAAGTTATTCATAGTTACAATATAGAAATAACTTACCGAAACATCTTTTTCAGCATATAAATCTTTTCCTTGATCAAAATGTTCCCAGCATATGTCTATCAACATCTGCTCCAACTGGCGAAATTGCAAAAGTCGAGTGTCACATTAAAAATATAGAGAATATACCCTACAACCAAGTGTACTGACCCTCGCACCTCTCCCTCTCCCTCACACGAGATTCTTTCTTGTTCTGTGATTTTTTTAAATACAAGATGGCTACAACTCTAAAGATATTTCATAAAGATCCTTGTTGTGTGATTTTTGAAATATATAATGTCTACAACTCTAAAGATATTTCATATCAAAAGCACCTCCACTAAACTAGCATACTCCATGATCCATATTACAAACTCTGTAATATCAAATGAACAAATATTATATACTTCCTTTGAAAGAACATACTCCATATTTGAGGATTTATTGATGATTGGATCGAATTGTTGGATGCCAGTTTGGATCGTGAGAATTTCATGCTTCATGTGCGTTCTATGGTTCCCAGGAATACGTTTCAGTAGATGGAAATAAAATTAATTATGCCTCTTTTTCGAGCAGATCAAGGGTGCGGCTCTGCCCCAGCTGAAACTTTATTATGCAAAGATAACAGAGTTTGGGGTTATAGGAGGCACAGCTACACGACACTACAACAGACAGCACGCAACAGAAAACACAAGGGAGCAGATCTACTTTTCAATCTCTAATAAACTGAAGCACACCAAGAACTCAAGGGAGCAGCACGCAGCCTACGGAGAATTATGACAGCCGGTGCTCAAGGTGAGGTCTGAGCATCAGAGGTAGCTGATGGTTGGAAAGAACACGTGCCTCAAATGTAGATAGGCTCCTGCTCTTGCATACAATCCACGGAACAAGGAGAACAACCCTGTTGGCAAGGTGACAGTGAAGGTGACAAGGGGAGCAGCGAGCTCTGCGCACATGATGCTTGATTGCTTTCAGGTTGGTGAGAACATGCACAACATGAGAATGTATGGTCCCTTGATTAAGCAAGGAACTTTCTTCATATAACTGTACCACGAACCTAGAAAGCATAGCATGAAATGCTGAATAAAAAGAATGTCAATATTTGACAGCTCAGTGTCACTCCTATCTTAGCTTCTGTGAGTGTCTTCTCACAGTACATGCATTTTCTATCTTTCCACTGTCCTATTATATTTTCTGGTTGTGATAATAATTTTAACATATTCTCCTTTAATAAAATAGTGTTGTAATTTTGCCTCTTTCGGCAATTGAACTACAAGAGTAGACTTCGGTGCATAGGTTCTACACCAGCCATGATAATTAATCAGGTATTCCATCTGTGTTCACTGCAGGAGCAGTATATTTTTACTTATTTTGGTGAGCTTGAGTTCTTGTTATTGATTATTTAATACAAGTGTATTGTCATAAGGGCATATTTACTTGGAGAATCTCATGGATTATCCATTTGGTATTTGTTCTTCCAACTTTTTCTGCTGACAAATGTAATGATCTGAAGGAGCAATCCTCATTTAGCATTTTAGAAGCTCAGGTTTCTTTCTCTTGCATGCTAATATATCCTGGACTCAAAGATATATAAAGGATTAGTACCTAAGATATGGATAAAATTATCTAATAACCTGATATTTTTTTTGAACATCAACTCTGGGTACCTAAAACACATCTTTTCACTCCCTTCTAAACAGTATGCCAGTTGGTTTGCGTTAAATGCAATTTAGAATATCCTCACTTCTGTTTTCTTTGGTGAGCATTTTTTGTATCTGGTAGTGTCAATGGCTGGTTATGTAGGTAAGTTTATTCTTTTCAACCTAATGATACATCTCCTACTTTTGTACCTAGAAGGTAATAGTCACAGTTTCTGTAAAGAATAATTGCTCACATCAGTCAAAACTTTTGTAGTATCAGATATTTTGTTAACTTCCTTTTGGGTATGACATTAATTGTGCAAGAAATCTATTACACTAGCCAAAAATATAACATCTGCATTTACGTGTAAATATTAAATAAGACAATAATTTATTCACAATTCAGTATATGTATAGGCAATGCACTTTTTTCTTATAGCTATGATTTTCTGGCACTTCTGTAACGACTCGGAATCGTAATATGTGCTAGAGCTTTCCATTTGGCACATACCGGTTAATGGTAAAAACAAATCTCTGTAGAAACTGCAATGAACTTTTGTTTGATTAGAAATTCAGATCATAAAGCAACCCACTGACAAGAACTCTTTTTCTTTTTCTTTTTGCATACGTACATCCTAATTTCTCATGCTTGAAGTTGTAGGGTTTGTTTTAGAGAAGAGTACATGTAGTATCAATCTGTGCCTGCTTACGAGTTATGACCAGGTTCCCTACATGGAGCTGTAAAAAAGGTCGCCAGATGACCATGTGGAAAATAGTGCAATTTGAACATTTATATTCACCAACCGGAACCTCCCCATTCTACATGTTGTGTATTCTTTAGTTACAATTCAAAATTCAGAATCAACAAAGAAGATTGCTGCGGTGATCCTATTTGCTGATGGTCATATTTGCTGTTTTCAAAATTCAGAATTATTTTACTGACATAGAAGCCCACAATTATGCTGTGAACTTCTACAAAACTCTTTTTGGCTACCAAGATAAAATCAACATTAACCTGAAAAATGATTTTTGGGAAGATGGAGAGAGGGTGACTGATGCACATAATTGCATTTTGGATACCCCCTTCTCAGAAAAGGAGATAAAGGATGTTGTCTTTGGCTCATATGCTGAAGGAGCTCCTGGGCCAGATGGCTTTCCTTTTTTATTTTATCAACAATTTTGGGACCTTATTAAAGGTGATCTATTTGCTTTATTTGATGATTGGGAGAAAGGTGAGCTAGACCTATATAGGCTCAATTTCTCTTTACTTACTCTAGTACCTAAAGAGGCTGATGCCACTAAGATGGAGAAATTTAGGCCTCTTGCTATGATTAATTGTAGTTTCAAGATCTTTGCCAAGTGTGCCGCGAATAAATTTGGACACATTTGCAAAGATTTAATTTCTGTGAATCAGACAGCCTTTATAAAAGGCAGGTATATAGCTTCTGTTCACTCTAGCAAGCAGACTGGTTTTGTGTTTAAACTAGACTACGAGAAAGCTTACGACATGATTAACAGAGAGTTCCTGATAGACATGATGTATAAGAGAGGGTTTAGTACTAACTGGATGAGGAAAGTTAAATCTCTCTTATACAAAGGTTCTGTTGGGGTCACTATCAATAATAGGAATAGTGATTTTTTTATTGCGGGCAAAGGAGTGAGGCAAGGGGACCCCTATTCCCCTTCGCTTTTCAACCTAATAGCTGATGTTTTTACAAAAATTCTTATTAAAGCCTCCAGAAATAATATCCTGGAAGGCCTCTTCCCTAGTTCCAATCCTGCTGGCATCATTAGTATGCAATATGCGGATGACACATTACTTTTCCTCAGCAATAATAAATCCCATGCGAAAAACCTTAAGTGGTTACTTTCCTGCTTTGAACATCTATCTGGCATGCGGATTAATTTTCATAAATGTGACCTGGTTCCCATTAATATCAATGAGGATGATGCCAATATCTTTGCACAAATACTTGGTTGCAAATTGAGTGAGTTCCCTATTAAATATTTAGGTGCTCCTCTTCATCACAGGAAGCTTAAGAAAAGTGAGCTTCAACCTACTGTTGATAAGATTATCAAGAGAGGGGCTGGATGGAGGGCGAGACTTCTGTCTTCGGGCAAAAGACTCACATTAGTGAAAACTTGCTTATCCACTATCCCTAGTTATCTTATGGGGATTATTAAATTCTGAAAATGGGCCATCAATCTGATTAATTCTCAACTAGCTCACTGCTTTTGGGACGATTATGAGGGTCATTTTAAATATCATCTTGCTGCCTGGGGTAATGTAACCTTACAAAAGCAGCATGGGGGTATGGGTATTCCTAATATTGCTGATATGAATTTATGTCTTTTAGCCTCTTGGATCAGGAGATATTTCCTGGATGAGGGCAAAATTTGGAAATAAATTATTGATGCCAAGTATAAGACTCACAGCCCTAATATTTTTACTTGCCCGGAAAATGGTGCCTCCCCATTTTGGAAAGGAATACTACGGGCTGCTAAAGCTGCCAATGTAGGATATTCCTGGATAGTGGGGAATGGCAAGAATATTAGATTTTGGGAAGACCAGTGGCTGGGACATACTACCCTAGCTACCCAGTATTGGGAGCTATACTCTATTGCCAACGACCACAATGTTTCTGTTAGTGAGGTCTGGGATGGCACCAATCTAAAAATTACTTTTAGAAGGTGTTTCACCCATAAGCTTCTAGCAGAGTGGGACGATTTGTTCAGCCGAGTGGCTAATGTAAAATTAAATGACGTTGAAGACACCGTACGCTGGAATTTTGAAGCCAAAGGTGTCTTTACTGTCAAATCTTTTTACAACTTTATCAACTTTAGGGGAATTGATCCGGCCAACCTTACAATTATTTGGAAAATTAACATTCCCCTTAGGGTCCAGATATTTCTCTGGCTCGTGGCCAAAAACAAACTTTTAACAAGAGACAATCTGCAAAAAAGACAGCATGTAGATGACGCTACCTGCCTTTTTTGTGGAGAATCTGAATCTATTGATCATTTATTTTTTGGCTGCATTGTTGCGATAGAGCTATGGAGAGGGATTTTTGACATATCTAAAAAACAAGTTGGTATGTCCATTGAGAACATGCTAGCTTGGTGGTTTAATCACAAAAATCTCTCAGCAGACTGCATGTTACACTCTGCTGCCCTTTGGGCTCTGTGGAATCATCGCAATGACATTTGCTTCAAACATGTTCCCTGGCTTGGGATGCAGGTGTTGAGGAGGAAAACTGCTGCTATATTAAGCAGCTGGATGGTCCGATGCTCAGACGGTGCAAAAGAAAGAGGGATGTACTTGGTGAGAAAGATGGAGCAGGAAGCGCGTGCACCCCCCCTCCTGATGTGGCCAGACCCTGGCTAGGACTCCTGAAGTGCTCGGAGTTGCTGTTCGATTGCGGCAATGCATAAGATCTGGGCGAGCGCTTTTGTAGTTTT